CAAGTTAAATCATTGAACATATACTTATAAAAATTTAATATAAAGCTTCCTTCTACCTAAAGAAGTAGGTACATATCGCTATTTTAATATGGCAAGAAGCAGCTTCAAAAGTGCAATGGCTTTGGCTCACATAATCCTAAAATATTTCAGAGAACTCCAGAATACCAGTTTGGTCACAGCTCTAGAAAAAAAGAGTTGTTTTAGAGTAGTGTCTAGGATTTATGAAGCATCTTACCTACAAAGGTAGTAAACAGTGAAAAGTTACAGCTTTAAAAAGTAGTTTAGGTGCTAATTTCACTTAACCTTTTCATGATGGTATAAAATTTACAAAGATCTTCCACACTTTTATTTTCCTCCCACTTTTGCAATATCTTTTTCTACCTTTTAAATATAGTGTCTAGAGCTAAATGAAAAATACATCGAAGTCTCTGTGATTCCAGACAGGGAGAAAGTAAAATAAATGAATCTAATGCAGAAGAAATTTTAGAAAATCTGAAATAACTCTGGGAAGGTACAGATAAATGGCCAACAAGCTTGGGTACTAGCAAATATAAAGATAAATTACACAATTTGTGTTTATGGCAAGATGGCTTTTAATTGCTGGCTATAAGTTAGGAAGGAGGGAGATAATACAATAAATCACAAGAAAAAAACCCACTCCTTTGTAATATCTTTAAAATCACTCCCTAAGGATGGTGGGAGAGGATTATCATCCTCTAGGATAGATGTCATGGGTTGAGAGAGGTAGGTTAGGACACCTGTCCCAAGTGGTGGAGCTAGAATCTAAATCCATATCTTTTGGCTGATTTAATGCTGACTTAGTAATTAAATCTGTTACTAAGTAATAAGTTTGCTGAGTATTCCTGCCTTAACCTTTTGGGGTTAATGTCGAAAAGAGCAAAAAAGCTCTCTCACAAATTAGACGTCTCTCATCTATCTTAGAGATCATGGAATGCTGGCCTGGAAGAATTGCTGGTAGAGATACATAAGAAAATGCAAGTTCTAGGTCCCAATCCTCACCCAAATGACAGAAAGTCTGTTCATCCAGATGACTACAGGTGATGACATGAACTCAACATAAATACTGAAAATAGAAGTGTAGAAAACTCAAGGTTACCAAACTTCTTAGTTACAAAGACTGAAACACAAAAGAACAGAGCCTAAGGCAGCGTCTGATGAAAGCACAGCAAATGTTCTCTTTCTAATTACACAATCTAAAGCAGCGTTTCTCAACCTTAGCACTACTGACATTTTGGAGCAGATAATTCTCTGTTGTGGAGGACTGTCCTGTGCACTGTAGGCTGTTTAGTACTATCCCTGGTCTCTACCCACTATTTGCCAATAGCATATCTTCCCCAGCCCCAATCATGATAACTAAACATGTCTCCTGACATTGCCAAACATCCCCGGGAGGCAGGAAGAGGTGGGAATTGCCTCCAATTGAGAACCACTGATCTAGATGGACTTCACTGTGATTATAGAAGCTAAGGGCATGCAAGATAAACCTACAAAGAAAGCGGGGAAAGCTGATAATCTTATTTTCTTCCAGGCAATAGTTTGCACAATCTTAAAAAAAAACAAACAAACCCATCTAACGTTCCAAAGACATGCAGTATATACCAAGAATATCAGGCTTAGCCCAAGAGACCACACCCTATTACTGAGAGGGACTCCTAGTAATAGATTCTGGAGACCAAGTCAATTATCCTTCCTTCCCACACTCAGTAACCAAAGTGACTGTCGAAGTATGCAGAAAATCAGATACACACTCTGGTTCTGCATGCCTATTAAGCCATTGCTCATCTTTCTATTCTATGAGAGGGAGTCTACACCTTTCTGGAAATCTGGCTCCACTAACAGGTTCAACACAGACAAAGCCTGAACTTTCTAAACATCCCCCTTTTTGAGAGGACAGACAACTACCTTTAATAAGCCAGCAACACTCCCCAGTTGATTGTATGCTGACGAGAACTCTACTGCTCTCCCTTGAGAGAAGGGACACTCAGTTCTTTGTCTAATGTCTTGTTTTACAATCATTTACTCTGCCCATCAAAATCTGATGGGCTTTAGAACACTGGGCTCAGTGGCATTATCCATCTTCCCATCGCTCTGGTGTCAGAGAATCTTACACTATTTCTAAGGACCCACGCTTGAGAAGCAATTATTTTCTAAGAGTTTCTACAAAGAGAATCCTTGAAATTATTTTGACTTCACGTGTTCTAAGAAAGATTTCAGAAACAAAAGATAATCTGTGGAGCCCTGAAGCTTTCCAAATTTTGCTTTTCAGTTGGCTGATGCATGCAACCTCTCCCCAACCCCAAATCTTGCAAAATACTGTTGAGTATTCCTGGTGGTTTACCAAATTATGCTAGCTATGCTATAGACAAAAATTATTACTATTATTTTTTTACCTCGGTGTGTGAATGAAACAAAACCTTGTTTTAAAATATCTGCAGCATAGCTCAGACTGAACAGTTGAGGTTCAGTTAACTAAGGTCAGAACAAAACTGTTGCAAACCCAAGACCCAAACCCCCTTGAGCTTCCCACACTGCCTCTGCTAGACTGTGAGCTATTTGAGGGAGAAGCATGCCTTAGTCCATGGAACACAGGCCTGACTCAAAGAAGCCTCTGTAAAAGTTTGTTGTATAAAAGAAAAAGGACACTACAACACATTAACAATAAGATCATTTTGTGTCAACTGTAAAACATTTCTGTAATGGTTGCTACAGGATACTCTATTTCTGCTTTCTAGAAATTAATTGCATAAGAAACAAGACTGTGAACAATAAAAAAGCTAGTCTCGTGTTTCCTAATGGTTTCTATAGGCTCTCCCAACAATATTATTTTAGCCCTTCTTCCAAAGCACAACTTAAAGGTTTTTTAATCCCTAAGCATGCTGTTTACTCCCTTAAAAGCTGATCAGACAGAGGAGGGCACAGAACAAACTGATTTTGTAAAATTAAATTCAGAAGAAAAAGGAGGTGCGCATCTAAGGTTTTAAGTCACTGTTAACCAGTGACCCCCTAACCTAGTTCTTGCTCTCCAAATCCAGGGGGAAGGTAAACTTAGGGGGCAAAATTAGGCCTTGGCTACACTGGCAGTTATAAAACATTTTAGCAGTGCTCTGCCGGGCCTCTATAATTAGAGTGTATGCCTCAAGAGACTTAAAATGAACTCAAAGGGTTTTAGAAACCAACAGCCAGCCCTCTGAGCACTGAGCTGCGTAGCCATGGGGCTGCTGCGCTGGGTGCCTGCCACCGTGTGCACATGTGTGCACACACACGCCAGTTCTGAAGAGTCTCTTTTTTCAAAGCTCTAATGGCTTGACCTCAACACCTGCTGCACTTCCTGAAGACAGACAGGCTCTGGAACTCCATTTGTTCCTCGCACGCGGCTGCACTTTCTAGGAACGACCGCACACACGCAGTAGCTGGCCAGCTGCCAAGGCGGGGGCAGCCCAGCTGCCTGGGGCCTGAACTTTCCCAGTGCTGTTAGGGCGGGATCCCACTATGAGCTGACTCAGCGGCCAGCATGGAACCCTGCCAACCCCACAGCAGTGCGGGGGCTGCTGGCAACTCACAGATGTTTTGCTAAACCAGAGCAATCAGCCTGGAGGCTGGTCTGGGCTGGCGGCCAGGCTGCTGCTGTCGTGGAAGCTGGGCTTCTCTGATCCTTGTCCTAGCTCTGCCACTACCTCCCTGGCGATGACGGAAAATCTCTGTGCATCTCAGCATCATCCCTGCCTCAGAGCACGTGTGTGTGGATGCAAGAGGGACGGCACTGTTTGTATTAGAATACCTGGAGCACTACTATCTACCATGTGCTAGCTCAGTTAATCCTCACAACATCCTTAGGAGGTATGCTTCATTATTTTTACTGCACAGACAAGATGACATATAGGCTCAGAAGAATGAAGAGCCCTATCGAAAGATCACAAGGGTAATAAATGGATGAATGGGATTTGAACCTCACTTTGCTGGCTTTGGAATCAACTGCAAACACTGCTATTGTAGTAAACTCAGATGAACGGCACAGGCTCCTTTATACAAAGAAGCTGATTTTTCAGGTTCCAAAGGATTTTCTTATGTGACTTATAGTTGCCCTGTGAAAATCCACAGCTCTTCACTGATTTCTAAACAGCACCATTGGACCACATGCAGAGTATGTGTTTATAGGGAATATCCAGACATTACTAGATTTATCATGAACTCCCTGACTAAGCATCAATAATTCACTTAACCTGGAGCAACTTATCATTGCTCCTGTTCTTTGGGTGAGGAAAAACTGCATTGCAGGTCAGAAAGAGAAGAAGAATAAGAAGTCCAAGGGTTGGCTAAGAACAGCTTCCTTAGGCTCCACTCCCTGAGATAATTAATTAAGAACCCAAAATCTGTATTTTTTTAAAAGCTCCCTAGTTGACTGATGCTCAGCTATATTTGAAAATCACTTAAGCTTGCCTTGGCTAAAATGGGAATTTTGAGGTCTACTCTTTCCTATGAAATGAAATCATGTCTACAAAGCTCGTTGTTAGAAAATATACATAATGCAAGAGTTTCTCATCAGCTATGTTTAACTGCAAAACAACAAAACTGTCCTTAAAGAGCATGATCCTGGGTTAGCCTGGAGCTTAGAAACTGTCTTAGGCAAATATAAACTGTTCTTTTATATTACTAGACAAACTAATTAGAGTCATGCATCTCATTTTTAGATAACCTTCATAACATTGTTGCAATCTCATCCTTCCTTAAAAAACAACTGTACTGACATTCTTTCACTTCAAACTTGGAACAATACACGTGAGGAGTAACTTACATATTTCATTGCTTTATTCGAAAAAACATGCATGGCAAAAAAATTCAGTCTATTCATGTCTAGGCTGCTGGTCACTAAAGTGGGGTAAAAAGGCACAACTGGCACAGACCCTGGCTCTGGACATCCAGTACCCCTCTCTGGCTAGCCTTTAGGAAGAACAAATGACCCCCACACCAGAAAGACTGACCTGCTTGAGCTGCTCATCCAGATTCCAGCCTGCCTGCCCAGCTGCAGAAACTGAAGGTGGGGCCTTGGCAGCATCTTTGGTATGGTCTTCTTGAGCTTGCTGTCCCTGTGGTGGGAGCCCTGGTGCTGGAAGGAGACCAGATATGGGTGCCACTCTGGGGTCTTGGTGAGCCACTTTCTGCACATGAAAATATTTTGCAGCATCCCGGACCTCTTTCTCAGCCACCTCTGCAATGTCATCATCCCCATCCTCATCTTCCAAACCTCCTTCCTCTTCCTCAGGCTCTGAGTTCATGTTGCTCCGTTCAAAAACTCGGGTCACTGCTGTGGCCAGAGGAACTCTGGCTAAGGGACCCAGGGCAGGACTGCCAGAAGGCCTCCCAGGTGTGGTAGAAAGAAGAGTCTGTGTGACCAGCTTCTGGGCATATAAGAACTGGGTTTCTCTCATCTGCTGTCCCTGCTTCTCTCTGGCATCCATCTGCAGAGGAGCCTGGTGCAGTGGTGGCTGCTGCTGCTGCTGCGGCTGCGGCGGCTGCGGCGGCGGCTGCTGCTGCTGCTGAGGCTGCTGCGGCTGCTGCG